ATGTATGTATGTATATACACATATATATAAATGCTAACTAGCATTATAATACAGGATCGACACATGTCATATATGAAATAAGTATCATAAAGGTTTCATGTGTGAAGAGAACTGTCTGGATTAAAATGCACTGGAAGGAGACATGGAAAGAAGTGTGGCAAGGGTGGAGTCTTAAAGAATGGGCAGGATTTAAATAGGAACTCTAAAAAGGAGGATAAAGAAAATGACATAAACATGAGCCTGAAGGTGGTATACATATAGCTTGTTTTTGAGAGACAGTAAGAGTCCAACTGAAGTAGAAGGCTCCTATTGAAGATAAGTTACACGAAATTTTGGAGGATTTTGAATTCCATTCTCAGGAATTTGGACATTTTGTCCTATAGCAGATAGCCACGGAAGACTATTGCTCAAGGAGCAAATTACTGAAGTGGTGTTTTAGAAAGAGCAATATGCTATTGATATGTGGGTTAGAGAGAGAAAATCACTATATTACTTCTATATGTACTGTGCTGAGTACCTTAAATATATTTTTTTCACTTAATATTGAGAGGCCCAAGCAGTTAGTTACTGCAATAAATCCAAGAATTAAATTCTAAGAACTTGAGTTGTGATGGTAACACTGAGTAGGAATGAAGAATAAATGCAAGTGACATTTCAAAGGAAGAATCCTTTCAGGGGCAAACAAAATGTTGTATTTAAGACAAAGGGAGAAATAGGAGTTAACTTTAAGATTTTTAACCTAGACAACTAAGGCAGAGATATCAGTATAAAAATTAAGCAGCTGGATGAGAAGTAGGTTTGCAAGACAATGCAAAAAGTTTGATATTAGGCATGTTAAGTTTGAATATAAGACTGGAGTTTTAAGGAAGAAGTCAGAAGTAAAGGTTTAGTTTATAAGTAAGCATGTAAATACTTATATTTCTAGAATGCATAATACACACACTCATTCACATACTATTTCACTTATTCATTTAACAAACATTTAGCAATTGCTTGCCATGTTGCAGTACAGAGCAGTACAGAAGTTTTTGAATCCTGACTCTACTACTGACAAGCTAGGCAAGTT